GTTCTGTGTTTCAAGAAACATTTTAGTCGTTTATTAATTTCACTTAGGTAATAAATGTCAAAAACATTGAAACGTGACTACGATAACACAAGTTCATCGCCATCAACAAAAAGAAGAAGACGACCTAGTAATATGACACGATTACTGCATTGTCTGTGTTCCTACCTTTGTGAATCTATCTTTAAAGTGCAGGATATCGAGACCACACACAACACAGTTTAACCAGAGGATTAACAAAATGATACCCAAGACTGAAAGCTTTTAACTGGAACTTCTCTTGACTTCTTCAAACCGTACTCGGCTGATGGAGCCAACGATATACAATATAGGGGAGGATGGGGGAATTGCGGACGCGGGGTAAATACGGACTAGCAAGTACCTACTCAATCCCTCCCCCCCGCGGCAGCCCGGTGCTGTCATCTGTTTCTTTCTGCCATTTTAGTGCCACGCAAAAACTTACGACAGCCGGCTGCGCACAGTTTGAAAGGTAGGTAAAATTTTAAAAAAATGTGTATTTTGATCTAATTTCTAGTGTTTTTTAATTTAAGGGACTGGTCTGAATACTAAGTGATGGTAAAAAGTTATATTATCTATTGATAGCTTTGTCAATGAAGTTTGAATCGCGAATGTTTCTTTTTATGGAATGTTTTCATAACCTACAAATTTATCTCTTTGATTTAAAAATACCCAATTGGGTTAATTGCGGACAAGCCTTGCGGGGTAAATACGGACGTCTGCAATTACCCCTAATTCGATAAACTATTTAAAAATTTACCAATAACTGGTACAAACGGGCAGTAAACAAAAAGCATTCCATCATTTTTACCAGCACACCAGAAAAAAAGAATCTAGAAGAAAAGGAACAAAAGAAATTAGACAAGAAAAGAAAAGCCCAAGAAAAACAAAATAAAACTACATCTAATAAGCTAAAAGGATCAAAGGGTGTAAGAAATCTAAATTATTTTGAAAATGAAGGAAATGTTGATTACTTTTGCATTTATTGTCAGGAAAAGTACTACGTTCATCCACCCGCCGAAGACTGGATTAGGTGTTTAAAGTGTAACAAGTGGGCACATGAGAACTGCACTGCAGGAAGTTCTTCTAAAGGCTTTACTTGTGGTTTTTGTCTGTGATGTGGACCTGTCCGTAATTAACCCAGCGTTAGTCCGAATTTACCCCGAGCGCTGCGGGTAATTACGGACAGACAAGGTTTTGTTTTTGCTAAAAATATTCCATTTGTTGATTGATCTCATTTAATAAGTATAACTGTTTTTGTAGATGTTTAACTAAAGATTAATAATTAATAAAGAAAATCTGATTATTACTAATAGTACGAATGTTGTGCGTTATTTCCCTTCAGCGTCCGCAATTCCCCCACTCTCCCCTACCCTAGAATCTAGATGCAAAATCTTGGTCAAGAACTGTCCCGAAAGTAGCAAACAAGCTATGCGCTCTGCCGAAAATAATAGAGCTCCAAAATTACCTATTTTGGAGCTCTATTATTTTCGGCAGAGCGCATAGCTTGTTTGCTACTTTCTTATTTTGCACAGGACGGATGAGATACCTAAATCACTTGATGGACAGCCCTGATGAATGAAGCCAGCTGAATAGGTCCAGCCGTGTATAATCCAAAAGTTATTATCCTTTTTATGGCGCAGTCCATTTGTCTATGCCCTATGTTGTCTCTGCCACCAGAGCTCAGCTAAAATTACATAACCGGTTAATAAGACGGATTCTGCTATAAAGAGTGTCACTTGAAAAATATACGATGCTTATGAACTTCAAACTTGTTTGATTCAAATAATATTTGTCTTTGCATGCAAAGGTCTTAAAATAAAAGATACCTACCTTCCTATACAGCAGCTTGTATTTGTCGGGAAAAGAAAATATTTTTATTTTTAAAACATTAGGTACCTATGTAAAGATAGGCACATCACTCGTATCTTGTATGTAGAGTCGCCAGTACATCAGACTAAACAGTTTTATTAGAAATACCTATACACAATAGGTACATGCCTAAAACTGTTAGGTCTATTGACAGTCTGTTACACCCGTATTCACAAACGATGCTTGCTTAAGTGAAGCAGCAAATCGAACGCACAGCGTTGAATAGAGCTCTGTGATTGGTTCGTGTTTGACCCTGTGCGGCCACGGGGACTTTTTGTGAATACGGGCGTTAGAACAAATAATTGGCACTCTACCTATAGTGCTAGATGGAGGTACCTTTGAAAAGGCGGCATAAGAATGTTTGTTAACTTAAAATACCGCAAAGCTTTATAATATTGAAATCTCTCTCGCGTTTCACCTCGCTTAGCTAAAAGCACGCATATCAACTAACATCATACAGTGTAGCTTCGCCTATTCGCTTCGGCTCGGAATGGAAGCTTAGAATCTCACAGTTCGTCGACCCTGCTCGCCAGCCGTCCTTGGCGAATGTTTTAATTTTATGATGTTTGAGTTTTGTAGGAATCTTGCAATATTATTATTAAATTTTAACTTATGCTTTTAAAGACAACAGAGCGTAGGTAGGTAATTCTATTTATACCACTTTAAACGGTGACTATACTTACTAAACTAACGAAAAACTTGAAAAATACGAATTTCCTGAGGTGGTAAACGAACCCCACGACCGAATTTTTTCAAGTTATTTAAAATTTAATTTGGGATGCGACTCTTAATTCTAACTCTTACCTACTTGGTAGGGCATAACAAAAATAGGAGGAAAATTAATAAATCTGAAGAAGTTTTGACTGCTTTAAGCAAATACCTACTTGCTTATAAAGTTAACAGCTTATGCGCATCAATCTAACTACATAGTTATTTTTATAAACCAAACAATTATTGGCGTCGCTGACACCCACTCGCCATATTATGCGCCATGACGCTAAAAAACGCGCCAAAACATACTCGAGGACGATAAATACCGGAACCGCTGGTCCTTCGATCGGGCGATAATTGACGACACCTTGGTCATCAGTGGGTGACGGTAATCCTTTATGACATCACTTGATGTTTTACTTCAAGTCCCTTTGTGCTTGCAAATGATGATGATGCCGCTACGAAAAATCTAATAATTAAATATTGGTGGTAACAATCTTCCATTTTCTCCAGATGCGGTTGGCACAGGCGAGAATGGACAATTCTCAATTTTTTTGTTGAAAATTAAGTTAAGACCCTTCATACTTGAAGAAGTTATTAATGTTCCCAAGATTCTATTAACCGAATTTAATTTCGGGTACCGCCGAAAGATTCTAAGAAAGTTGCTTTTTATTATTGACAGATCACAGCTTTGTTAGCACTCCAATTTTGTTTAAAAGATGTGTTTTCCTGAAAGAGATATTACCGTTATCTAAATAGATAATATCAGGATCGTGCATTCGTAACAAGCAGAGATAATAAGTCCAATGTAGGGTATCTTAATTATTACATAATTTTACGGGGGCATAAAATGATTATGTTTGAAGTACCTATCTACCTAGATATTGCGCAGACGCGCGAGTAAGTAACTGGTACAATGCTACATAACATTATAGACATTTTTTTAACTTTTGACACCGAACTATGCTAGATATTTTTACATTAAGTGCCATTTTAGATAAAATATTTTTTGATATCTAAGTATCGCCTCTTTTCGAATCAATGCAAGCATAATTTCTAGACAATGATTCATGGATTTATTGTTTTATCAATAACATTAAAATTATTAGATTAAAAGCACAAGTGGTAGGTAACTACCATAGCTGGGCATTAACTCGTTAATCCGTTAATCGTTAATTAAGGNCGACATATTATAAAATCGCTGTGATTTAATATTCTTAATCATTAATTTTATGGCAAGTGTCCATCAGGAATCATTGTTCTTACACACAGAATCGTATTATTTCGCTTTCGGGTAGTAATATGTCAAAATTGTTGGTTCTTTAGGCGAACAATGTATGGAGAACGAACATTGTCCTTTGACCTTGACGTCAATAACGTTTGAATTGGTTTTTAATGTACCTAGTGAAAGGTCCTATAGCAAATATTTTGAAAGGCGGATTTAAAAAAGGGAATGCTCCAGTGAAAGTCAGATCTTAGCAATAGTTAATACTGCAATGAGTCTCTAGTTAATTGATTTGTTAATCTCGCAGTTGTGGCAGATTTTTTCTATATTAAGTATATCGACTTTACCCGGTTTTATACCGGGTATAAAACCCGGTAAGTATAATATACCGGCATAAGCCACATCTGAGAGTTAAAATTTTAAAAATAAATTACCCGAACTCCTACTCGTATATTTAATTTTTATTCATTCATTTTGTTCATTAAGTTTTATAAAAACACGTGTTTTCTATTTGTAATTTGTTGCAAACTTGAAACTTAATTACCTATGTTCAGTTACTTGTTGTTATTAAACACATACAATGTTTTGTATTTGGCCGGTCTTAAGGTTTATTACTGAAAATTAAATTCTCTTCGAATTTTTTAAAAGAAATTTTTAACACACAATAATTTATGTGTAGAATGTGTTAAGTGACGCCATAAGGAAGAGGCGTAAGAGGTTGCGATGTGGCGATGATACTAAGTACGAGAAGTTGAATATAATACTATACCTACTGTTGTCAAGGTGAATTTAGCCACAAAAAATACTGGTTTTCAATTTTAAAAGTTAAATGGAAGCTGAAGACACCTTGCGAAGTTAATTTACATACAAAAATATGTTGTCCATACATATTTTGTACACTTACTCATTTCCATCGAGGAACTAACAATGGTTATTCTTCGCAAAACATCTAAGAAATAAAATAACGCCTGGCTAGATACTTATAAACTGAAATAAACAATACTTAATAATACCTTCGCTAGATGGCACATAAATCTAAACACTATGTTATTTTAGTTGTAACTTGTATCATACATAATTAGGTGCTATTTTTTAATTTGATGATCTGACTCTACATAGTATGATAAATATAAAGCTTTGAGCATTTACTCCATATTCTATGTAAAATAAGAAATTTTTGGTGTTTACATGACAGGCAGTCTACCGAAGAACATGAGGCATCGACTATGCAAGCTGAAGTGGCCCGTGAATGGGGGGCCAGTTCGGTATCTGAACACAAGCACGCAATATCACCAGGCGTCTGAAAATGGACTTGAGTTTGGTAAGTATTCTCAGAGAATAAGTACCTACTTGGACTACTTATTACTCTTTGTACTTATAGAGCAAGAGCCCGTAAACCCCAGAACTTAGTTATTTTATAAAAGCTAAAAGTTTGTCAGCGTTTGGGTGATCATGGCTTTGGCAACTATGCATGTATACCCTTAAATGCTTGGCGTTTTAAAGTAGGTACATAGTAAATTAGTTAACTTTTTAACATTTACAGGCAGTTTATATTTTATTTATGGAACTAAATGGACTTAGAGATACTAGGAATACTAATTTTATTCCCGTGAAGCCTCTCCTAACTCAATTCACATATTATGTGGTTAACGGGAATATTGTAATTTAGCTCTATGTACCTACTCTTTAAAAAAAGTTTTGCCCAGTGTATTATTTTTTATTATAGTTACCGTTACAACTACTCGCTCTAGTTAACTAAACCAAAATTTTTAATTTCATTAGGTATTTTGGCATTCTTTGCTTGTATACTTACAATGGCTATTTATTTATTGATATTAATAGTCATACATTAAAGTGTCTTGTCATCGTGACATCATAAATAACCCAATACCAACCCAATACCCTATTGATGTGTTAAATGCGCAAAGATTCCATGCTATATTTTTTTAGCAAATTCGCTGACAGGTAGTATTTCGTTTCATTGTATTATATGTAGTTAGATACACTGTTAAAACTGTTTGTCTTGTTATGTAACAGGTACCGTAGTTGTGACTTTTACGAATAGATGACTTTTGCGAATGGCTCAACCCGCATGAAAAATATCTTTTAGAAATTGGTAAAAACTGTTAACAACATTTTTAATTGTTATTAATCTTATTTTTAAGCGATAAATACACGTTATTATAGTTATTATCTTTAAGAGGCTCTGAGTTATATTTTAATTATTACTTTGATAATCCGTATATTTTGATTAATACGAGTAGGTGCTTATATTTATTTTCCAGGTTACTTTATAAATAGTAGTTTTAAATAAAATAGTGTAGATAATAATATAATTTTTCTCTTGATTGATTTCAACATTATACGTTTTCCAATTCAAAATAGTGTACACAGCAGGCATTTTTAAAAAGTTTCGTAATCAATTACATATTCATGGTTTCTCATTCGAAATTATGTAAAATATTACCAGAGATCTTAGATATCTTACTAATAGCACAGATAATATGTATTAGTTCCATATTGATGATGCCCGATTTCTAGATGTACATTTTTAATCCAAAGCTTGATAGTCGTCCGTTTTATCAAAGCAGTAAGGTTTAATATTCATAACATTTTGATCAGATGCTGCCAAGACTCGAACCTGCCCTGTCCACGGGCAGAGGTTCCGGTCCACTCACGCTGCACTGGACACCTCGGTGTTCGAGACCATGTCCCCGGCTGTGAAATCCTGGGAGGAGGTGCCGGGGCCAAAACCATTGCCTCTACNGCCCCTCCTGGGGAACACTTGGCGATTCGCCCCGTATATCGGTAAGTAGTTTGGTTTATCACCATTTCAGCTAAAGTTTGCAGCCTCCCTAGACAAAGTAGCAAACCTGGTTGTTGTAATTCCAAAACACTTTAAGCCTGATATCTGAGCTCATCGTCATCAGTCATTTAGTTCTCAATGCAAAGCACGATCCTCTAATTTACCAGAAGCAAATAGAGGATTTTATTTATTTAAGTTTAAACTTTAATGCCACTTAGATGTACTCTTCAGTCTCCATGTCAGCCTGATGAGTTAGGAAGACCTGATGTTCGAATATTTCTCCTTTAGTCGCTTTTCACGAAATCCACGGGAAGAGTGGGTGTTATTCTACAGGAGCACGACCCTCTAATTGACCAAAGGCCAATTGAGGATCTGACCCTACACTCTTCAGTCTCCATGCTGGCCCAACGGGTTAGGGAGTCATGTTATTCGCATAATTTCTCCTTTAGTCACACGCGCCTTTTATGAAATCTACAGGTAGAGACGATCAATTAGGTATACTCTTTCGAAACTAAATTGGCCATAGTAATACTTATGCAGTAATTTACTCGTATAATCTTATAGATCTTCGATGTAATAAATAGATTCTTATACCTAACTACTTTTGTATGCAAATCTTGCCTGTGTAATAATTATCTTGATTAATAACCCTAACCTTATTAACAAATTTTAATTATTTCCGATTTATGAAATAAGTACCTACTTAATAATGTTCGACATTAATTTGTACTTATAAAGTAATAATGTCGGATGCTGCTTAATCAGTATTTAATTAGTGGTTTTAGATAAAACGAGATTTTCTTGTTTCTTACAGTTTAAAGGATATTTTAAGAGTAACTAAGTTATTTCAATTAATTAAATAATTAAGGGCAAGACTTTTCTTCGATAAATGGTATTTTACTTATGGTTCCCATTGAGCAAATTATAGTAATTTCTTAAAACCTAAGCCACATTACAACATATTTCAAGGCACTATCAATGTTCCTTGTAGCACACTATAATTTAGCAACATTGTTTTAATGTGACATCTTTAATGAGGCCTTTACGCCATCTGGATTCACTCCGTGACCGCCATACTAACTCTTGCATTGCACCCATGGAGTTGCCGAAACACCGTAGCTATGGTGACATTGCTTCATCTATAACCATGGAAGTCAAAATGGTTAAATGGTGCATTGTGTTCTTATGTTATGTATGCAGTTTTGAGATGTACACAGTACCTAATACATTAGAATATTTTTTAATATAACATCTATAGAAAGAAAACATTAACAAGTAAGATGTATTTTGATTAATTTTATGAGTGCAACTATGTACTTATTGATGGAGTTATTTTTAGTTAGTGCTTAACTACTTTTTAATTGTTTTACTTTTAATATTTTGATTGCTATTCTATTGATGTCAAGCGAGTGTAGAGACCTGTGGGCTTACCATGAGTTTACGTTAGGTGTGCTCGCTAGCGACTGCGTAAAAAAATGACATTAATTGTATGACATATTGTGCAGCGCCCCTAGCGGCTACTTTCAAGAAACAAAATCGTCATAGAGATTTTTGACGTACTCGCTAGCGAGCACACCTAACGTAAACTCATGGTAGGTACACTGTTACTTACTTGTCATTTAACTTAAAATCGCGGTGAGAAAACAAAAGATTTGAATACAATATCTCAGGTCGTTCTCAATCTCAAGTCGTTCTCAATCTCAAGTGATTTATTTTTCTATTGGTTGGCTAATACTCGTACAACCGGATTTTGAATCACTAAAAATGTCAAAAAGGCGTGGCTGTAGGTACGTACAGTCAGCGTCAAAATGTTCGGGACACAAAGTAGCCAAAAGTTCACAGCGCGTCTTTGTTACAATTGGAATAAGGTTGTGTTGTCAACTTTTTGGCTACTTTTGGTGTCACGAACTACACTCGACATCAAATAAATCGCACCTCCCGCGACAAGCACTTTCAAACGTATGCATCCCCACTTCCCACCAATATTGGCACCATTTAAAAGCCTAGTTCTACACTTCATTTCATTAAAGGAAAGGTTTACCCCAAAAATGTGTCTTTAGAAGGATCCAAAGTCACTTCTTCAAAAAATTGGTAGTTACGCTTGAGCCAACTTTTATGGCTATAAAACTGTTAAGTTGGGATTAATCGCTATCCATCTGTTAAAAAGGGCACGTGCGATCATTATTTGGTTTTATAACCATAAAAATTGGTCTAATTGATCCCAGAGGTGAGCCCAAAGTAAGGTCTTTTTTCAAGTCACATTTATGATATACGTTAATCTATTATTGAGAAATTAAATGTGTTTTTCTTAAAGGATATTTATTGGGCTTTCAATTAACACCAATATTGTTAGGGCACCATGATTGTGTCAGAAAAAAAAATTTAAAGTTCTCGTCGCGGAAGGTGCGGTTTATTTGATGTTGAGTATATTTGACGATGACTGTACCTACCGCACGCATATCATTTTCATTTTAAAATATGACAGCTACAAAAAAGAAACTGCCTATTACCAATTCACGAATACACAATGACTGATGGTGTATTAAAAATATGCGTGGGCAAATTCACATCTGTTTAGTAACATGTTACATTTTTTGGGTCAATTTGGAAAAGAAAGTGATGTATGTAACCTATAGATGAACTTAGGATTTTATTATTTACTAGCTTTCCGCCCGCGGCTTCGCCCGCGTGGAATTTTTCGGTTTTTTATATAACCTATGATACTCAGCAATAATGTGGCATCCTATTGGTGAAATAATTTTTAAAATCGGTTCAGTAGATCCCGAGATTACTTTACAATNTCTCTACAGATTTATTATAAGTATAGACAAACACACAAACTTTACCTCTTTATAATATTAGTATAGATGATTTTGGTAGGAATAATTAGGTAGAGTTCCGAGTCGAGGAAGTCTCAAAATATCTAAGTGTTGGCGAAGAAATTTGATATTTCGTATAATTTTGGTGGTTTCTTTATGTGAAAGTTTATAATGAACCGCATCAAAACAAATCTTTATTTGGATTTTTGCATTTTAAAATATTTTTAGTCTTAAAAATCTCCTCTCAAACTTTTTTTTCCATTTTGAGGTTGGTTATAACTTTGAATATAATATTAGTCACAATAATAAAGTTTCATTTATTTTCATAATACCAAGCTAACACCCGTATTCACAAACATTACTCTGAGGTCTCACAGTGCGCGTGGACGTACAGGGTGACACACGGACCAATCACAGAGCTCTATTCAACGCTGTGCGTTCGATTTGCTGCTTCACTTAAGCAAGTATAGTTTGTAAATACGGGAGTAAGCCTCGTAGTTACTTTAATCACAGGTCGCGTCTCTATAAGAGCTACAACGTCGATCCTTAGTACATTTTTATCCACAGACCTATCTCTGTACAACCAGCGCATACTAATTCGTTTGATGCCATCTTCTGGTTACGAAAGTAATCTAGCACGAGGACATAGGGGCGAGTTTATAAGATCGTTCGTTAGTTCGTTCGTTTCAGCCAAATGACGTCCACTGCTGGACAAAGGCCTCCCCCAAGGTTTTCCACAATGAACGGTCCTGCGCTGCCCGCATCTAGGCTCTTCCCGCGACCTTTACCACATCGTCGGTCCACCTAGTAGGAGGCCTGCCCACGCTACGTCTTCCAGGCCGTGGTCGCCACTCGAGAACTTTCCTGCCCCCAACGGCCATCGTCTCTACGAGCTATGTGCCCCGCCCACTGCCACTTGATTTTAGCAATTCTGCGATTATAAGATGCGGTGAAGAAAACTGTTCACGCCCGTATTCACAAACATTACTATGAGGTCTCACAGTGAGCGTGGACGCGCAGGGTGACACACGAACCAATCATAGAGCTCTATTCAATGCTGTGCGTTCGATTTGTTTCACTTAGTTAAGCATCGTTTGTGAATACCGGTTTCAGTAAATTATTGTAGAGTTTATTATGTTAAAGAAAGAGTGCTATTTTGAGAACTAAATACTGAATTTGCGAGAAATTGCTCTGAACCTGCATAGTAACGATGCTTGCACTAAAGTTATCTGTTTGTACCAACATCTTGCTTCTACAACAGAAGTAAAGAAATGCCACAATATTGAACTTACTTTTCACTTCATATGTTATTCTGGTGAAATTTTTTGATTGTCAATATCAATCAATCGTCAACGAATTTAATTACCTACCTGTTTTACAACTCATTCATAATGATTGAGACGTGATAAGAAATGTAGAGACAATACAAAGAGGGTTACCTAAAAGTCTATAAAAATAAAATAAACTGTATAAAATTAATAATTTCGATTCAAAGAATGCCCGCCACTGGTCACTTGTCCATGGGTCACATTGCCCAAAATTAAATTCGTATGCAAAACGCATCGTGAAGTAACATAAGTGTTTTTCTTAGCCATTGTTAAATTGCGATGATGTGATCATGAATTGGATGACCAAGAACCAAGATGCCAAAAACCTTGAGTTGTCAGATTGCTCTTAGGTACAAATCTTTTCAGTGCCGTGGTTTTGAAAAATGATGTTGCAATTTAATCATTCAAGGTTATCTAAGGCTGGGTTGCACCATCTTACTTTAACTTTGACAAACGTCAAAAATCTGTCAAACTCCATACAAAAATCACCGGTTAACGTCATAGTTACCGTTAAAGTTAGGTGGTGCAACTCACCCGTAGTGTTTTGCACATAAAAGAGCAATTTATGGCCTTAATTGAGATGTTACGACTATGTAGGTAGTCGTATTATGTGACTATTTTATTATTATGTTGGCAAAGTTATTAAAAAATAGTTACTCGTAATTGTACATGTCGTTATAATGTCTTAGGATACTATGAAAAGTTTCTTTCATTTAATTTGAACGATGAATTATAGACATTAATGTACGAAATTACAAGGGCTTTGACAAACGTCAAAAATCTGTCAACCTCCATACAAAAACACCTGTTGTCTTTAAAGTTACGGTCAAAGTTAGGTGGTGCAACTCAGCCTAA